GCACCCCCTCATGGAGGAATTGCCTTAGGTAAACAATTTGTCTTTTTGTACACTAAATTCCATTCCATTCCATGGCACTGTCTCAAATTTAGACTTTCAGTTTAAGGGGAAGGAATTGGGAGTGGCTGAGTCCAAGAGTTCCATATGAGTCTCTCTCTTTTTATTTCAGTAATTTATTTATGAGAGATGAGATTGAGTCCAGAGCCTTGTGCACCTATGAACACTTCATTTTTATTTTCCTGTCTAGTGTGGGATTGTGTCTGTACACTTGCAGAGAGAGAGAGAGAGAGAGAGAAAGAGAGAGAGAGAGAGAGAGAGAGAGAGAGAGAGAGAGAGAGAGAGAGAGCACAAAGTTGGAAGAGTTGGGAGGCAGAAGCAGGCAGATTTCTGCAAATTCAAGGCCAGCTTGGCCAATATAGCAAGTTCCAGGTCAGCCAAGACTACAGTGTGACCCACACACATACCCTTAAAAACAACACAACAGTAAAAAAGTGCCTACTACTCTTGCAGAGGACCTCATTTTAGTTCTTTGTTTTTTAATTGGAGAAAAAAATTAGGGGCTTATGTCAACTTTTCACAATTGCCTGGCACGTGCTATAGATTGTATCTGGGAAAGCACAGAAGCAAGGCAGAAGCCATATTCAGATTCAGGGTACACAGAGGACAGCACGCAGCATCTCCTTTCACCAGATTGGGTTCTATAGCTATGGTCTGGCATCCAACAACAATAAGCATGTCTTACAAATTGCATGTAAATATTTGTCATGGGAGGCATGAAATCACATCTTAGAACAATCCAGGGAACAAAATGCATCTGAGGTAAAAGCCCTTCTGCCTTTTTTCCTGAGGCCTCTCTCACGGTTCCCCCAAGACATTGTTCACCATGTGACATTCTTTTGACTGTGATGACCCGGGTTCAATTCCTAGTACCTACATGGCAGCTCATAACTGTCTATAACTCCAACTCCAGGGAATTTGATGCCCTCACATAGATATGCATGCAGGCAAAACACCAATGCACATAAAATATAAATAAATCATTTTTTAAGAAATAATTTTCAAAAAAGAAAAAGAAGTCATACAGTATATTCTGATCACAGCTTTCTGTCCCCCAACTCGTCCAATACTCTTCCCACCTTTCTACCCATCTTTCTTTCTTTGGTCTGTTAAGACATGGTTTCCCTGTGTAGCCCTGAAAATTACTATGTAGACCAGACTATCCTTGAACTCAGAGATCCACCTACCTCTGCCTCCCAACTGCACCACCATAGCCTGGCCTCTTCCTTCCCTTTTTTCTCTTTTTAGAAAGAGAACAGTCAAGCAAACAAACAAAAATAGCGGTAAACATACATACATACATACATACATACATATGAAAACACAAGAGTCAAAATCATAATATATAGACAAAAGACCAGTTAAGATAAAGAATGCCTGAACGAAACAAAAAGTCTACAAAAATACTATTGGGTTTTTTTTTGTTTGCCATCTACTGCTGGGCATGGGGCCTGCCATTTAGCGTGGTTAAATAGGATTCCATTAGAGACCAGTGATTTTTCCTTTGCAAGTTGATTAGAGATAGTCTCTTGGTTAGGGTGGCAGTTCATGTCCACTTACCATTGGAACCCCCATCTGGCTTGAGTCTGTCTGAGCCTGTGTGCATGCTGCCACAGTCTGCTTTCTTATGTGCATCAGATATGGCCTGAATTTGAATTCCAACACCCACAACCAAGCAGCTCACAATTCCTTATAATTCCAATGCTGGGGAGCAGGGGGATTTGACACCACTGGCCTCAGTGGGCATCTGCTTTCATGCACACAGACAACACAATAAAAATAACAAAAATAAGAGCTCTAGGCCAGCCTAGATTATGTGAAATCCTGTATAACCAGGAGATGGTGGCACATGCCTTTAATCCCAACACTCGGGAGGCAGACAGATCTCTGAGTCTGAGGCCAGCCTGGTCTACAGAGCAAGTTCCAGGACAGGCTCCAAAGCTACAGAGAAACCCTGTCTTGGGGATGGAAAAAAAAAGTTTTAATTATATAACCACTAAGACAGGACTACAAAGTGAAACCCTGTCTCCAAACGATAGTAGAAAAAACAAGTTATTCTCAAAGTTAAGTTCTATGCATTTCACATGTTAACTTTATATTTTACATCATAGGGCTAGACAGACTGCTGTGTCTTATCACTGGAGCTCCAAGCATCAGAGATGTGATAGCCTTCCCCAAATCCTATCGAGGACATGACCTCATGAGCAATGCCCCAGATTCTGTGCCTCTTGAAGAGCTGAAACCCTACCACATCCAGGTCTCATGGCCAACAGACTCCGAAGAGGAGGATGCATCAGCCACACCTTCCAAAAACTTGAACTCTTAAGTTTTGTCTGCTTTGCTCTGCCAAACCTAATATCCAGAGCTGCCAGACTTTAGAGTCAAGCCTCCATGTGGAAGCACTCATCACCATATTAAGAAACAGAAGCTACCCAACTGTGGTTTGGTAATGTGACCCACTAGGACTTTCTGTGAATGGGACTTGTGAACAAGTTTTTTAACTGAAGCATTGTAAAACAAAATAGAAAACCTTTTTATTGGAGTGTTTAGAGTCTGTGATTTCCAAGCATGGTTTTCATAACCCAGATATGTTATTTAGGACAGGGGATATCAAGTCATAAAGGAGAATGTTTGCCTCTGTAGACCAGCCAGTTGTTCCAAGAAGAGGATTTAAATTCACCCAGTCTCGACAGGAAACCATATAAATTGAGCTTTGTGTTGACCTTTCAGCTATTAATATACTAAGAAGTAGCATGGTAGAATTTAAAAAGTCACAAAATTCTATTCAGAATTGCACCTTCAGCAACTTGCAAGCTTCTCTTAAGTCTCTCATGCTGCTTATATAATGTAATTGATAATTGTCCTGGTTATCTTACAGGACTCTTGTTGCCAGAATCAGGAGGTAAAGCAGCACTAAAAACAAAGCTGTCTTAGTCATTGTTCTATTGCTATGAGGAGACACCATGACCAAAGCAACTCCTTTTATAAAAGCATTTAATTGGGGCTTTCTTACAGAGGTTAGCCCATTATCAGCAGACATGGTACTGGAGAAGTACCTAAGAGTTCTACATCCTGGGCTGGAAAGATGCCTCAGTGGCTAAGAACACTAGGTGGACTTCCAAAGGTCCTGAGTTCAATTTCCAGCAACCACATGATGGCTCATAACCATCTGTAATGAGAGATCTTGTGCCTTCTTCTGGCTTTCAAGGATACTTGCAGACAGAAGACTAAAAGGCAGCAGGAGACACTGGACCTAGCAAAGCCAGTGACACTTCCTCCAACAGCGCCACTCCCTGGTGACTTAGCACTCGAATATATTGAGCTTATGGGGCCATTCTTGTTCAAACCATAGCAGCTCAGTGGCAGGAGCACTTGTATAGAATGTACACAACTCGAGTTCAATCACCAGTATCACATCCATATACAACAACACTGAAGGCTTACTATAGCACAGTGCTCAGGTGGAAAGACTAAAGGAGGCAGGTGAGAGTACCTATTTGACTAGTCTTCCGTTCTTTTTTTGGTTCCTATAAAAATAGGCTCCAATACTGACGTGCAACTCATCCCTATAGCAAAGGTTAGATCCTGTGTTCTGTAAGGAACTAGAGGACTAAGAAGTCTTAAAAATGTGCCAAAAGGAAAACACTCCCAGCTGGACCTAATAGCACACATTTGATCCCAGCACTTGGAGGCAGAGGCAGGCAGATTTCTGTGAGTTTGAGACAAGCCTGATATACACAGGGAGTCCCAAGCCAGCCAAGGCAAAATGAGACCCTGTTTCCAAAAGGGCCACAGGCAAACAAGATGGCTTACTGGGTAAGGGTACTTGCCTTCAAATCTGAAGACCTGGATTTGATATGTAGACTCCACATAGTGAAACAGGCTGGTGTAAGTTGTCCTCTGCGCTCCACCCACATATATACAACACAAATGAATGGAAAGAGGATCTAAAAATATGGGCTGGCTGGGGAGAGGACTATGAGTTTTAGGGGATGTAGTTCAGAACTCCATGACCCAGATGTGATAAGAACAGGCTGATCCCCAAAGCTCCAGGCCAAAGTAACTGGAAAGTTCCTAGTTCACTGAGACTAACCCTGCATCAACCTGTTACACCAAAAAAAAAAAAAAAAAAAAAAACCTGAAACTTAGTTCAAGTTCTGACAAATAGTATTTAGGCAGCCTCAGGGGAACAAGCTAGAAACTAGTCAAGTCAAACCACACCAGGTGGAAAACTATTGCTGGGAAGAGCACTCTCTAGCCCTAACACCCCAGTGTTACAGCTAACATTTGATTGTAGATCCTGTAATGTGACTAATGTCCTATGCAAACTGATGGAGACTTCAGCACCCAGAAATTTGTACACCCAAATTTACAAGCATGTTTCCACTTGTCTCCCACTAACCCCAGGAATTTAATTTTCAGCTGCATCATGGTTGGCATATCCCAACACTCAGGAGGCAGAGGCAAGCTGATGAGAGGCCAGCCTGGTTTGAGATTCAAGAGGAGCCAAAACTACAGGTAAAACTGCCAAAAGTTTAATCAGCCATAACCTTCCAGGGCACACCACACTGTAATGCTATTTGATCCTTCTTTTCTAACAGGCTACTACACCAGTCACCTAAACCAAGAGCCCAGACCTCTGACACAACTGTTCTTGTTAATGTCAAGCCAGGACATCATTGTGCTTCTTGAAAGCTCATCCTGATCTTACAATGAAGTGGTTGGTTACTGGCCAGTTAAAACCTTTTGCTTTTTTGGTTTCTGAGGTTTTGGAGGATGAGCTGGAACTAGCATAGACCAGGCTGGATCAGCCTGCCTCTGCTAGGCTTAAAGGCGTGAGCACCACCACCTACCTGGCCAGCTAACTTTCTATTGATCTCTGTGGTAAATACCCCATAAGTTGGCCCTATGCTAATTAGAAAGCAAAATGCACACACTTTGTATATATTTAATTCAATTTATTTTGATATTATTAAGGGATTACACCTTTTAAGTATCTTCTTCCTGAGCCTCGAGCCAGCCAGCCAGTCACCTGCAACAGAGGTACCTGGTTAGGCAGATTTCTACATTTTAATTTAAATTATAATAGGTTACACAGAATATCAGATCTTTTGCTGTCATCAAGTAATCAGTGAGAGAGTTCAAGTTGTGGTGAATCATCACATATTCTGGAATAGGTTTAAGGTTAGTATTTTTATCCCCAGCTGCCCTCCTAGTTACTATCTCCAATTCTCACCTTTTAAATAGTAAGGTGAAAATGACTGAATTGCAAGTCCATTTCTGCCACAGGAGCTCTAAAAAGAAAAAAGAAAAAAATGTCTATCTTGCTTAGACTAGTTGTAGGTTACATATTACTATAGTAACCTCAGAAATAAAATGGAACGGTTTTAAAGGTGATATCACTATGTATCATTTGGCAGAATCATCACATCACTGGTTACAGGCCAAATAGAATCTTTACAAAACCCAAGGTGACTTACCTTGAGATTCAAAATGAAGGATCTGATCTGTTTGAAGAAAAAAAAATTATTAGCCCAAAAATTTAACTGCTCAGTTCAGTTCACACTACTCTTTGGACAGTAGCTTTCAAACAATTCTCTTGCCAAGAGGCCTATCTTGAAATCTTATAGTTGTAACCACCATACCTAAGAAACTACACTCTAAACAATAGCCAGGACTTATGTGATTGAGACCAAAGCCTAAAAGCTAAGGCCAGGCCTTACACCAAATCACAACTTCCACATTGTACTAGCAATTTAAACCACTACAGCCAGATACGTCAGATAGGAGCGAAAGACTTAGGATTGTTCATCAGGTTAAGTCTGCTGAACTATGTTATCATCACAGTATCGGCATTTATTGGGGAATTGTCTAAACACTTTCATACATGCACATATTTGGTCAGCCAAGAAACTTACCATTGTAGAAAACCTTGTCTGTGCCTTCATTCAACCGGAACCATGCTGATAGCCTACAGAAATTCAATTCCATTTACAAACAGATTTATGAAGTAGACACCTACACAAATTTGTAACTACTGTTTCAGCTTAAGAATTAATCTTCAATCTTATTCAGAGAGATTCCCATCTGTTTAGCTTTATACATCATCACTAACAGTAGCATATATCCCTAAACAGTTGAGTCTGCAAAAAAGGGGCTTCCTTACCTTCATTTAGAATGTCAATTGCTCTTCCAGTGGTCCAGGGATTGGACATAAAAAATTAAGTACTAAGAATTAACTGTTGCATAATACTGCAAATAACCCTGCTCATTAGCATAAACCAAGAGCCCAGTAACTAGCTTCTTACCAAAGCAAGCCATCCAAATGCAAACATGCAACCAGTTGCTAGAATTAAAAGAAAACACCTCTTACAAATATGCTAAGCATCATCCAATTATTCTTAGTTGCCTGTCACAGGATTCTTCAGTGTTTAATTTGCTGTCTACATGTATGTTATTTTCAGGTCAGACATTTGGATCAACATCATTACAAAAACCCCGATTAGAGCATAGTCCAACTAAACCTAACACATTCACGAGACAACACACGCAGATGTCTGACATCCACAAGCGTGGCATGCCTCTCTAAACTGGCCTATAGCCGGTGTTGGATTCCAATACTTACTCAAATGAAAAGCTGTCCAGACAACTTGAACACCTAAAAAAAATTCAGAATTTCAGCCCAGTCAAAAAAGATAATTTGTCCCACCAAAACCTAACCAAGCCCGGATCAGATAGAGCTAATTAAGAGCTTCATGTTAGTCAGCATTTGCTTGTCATCATGCAGGCCAAAACACATAGCAAGAGTACTTGCTATGCAAAAAACCATACCAAGCCATGTTTGCCCATTATCTACAATCCTTTAACTCTACTTACATTTCATCTTTAATTTTCCAGTAAAAGTACCTAAAGTTAAGAGTTAAAATTAGGTCAGTACTCAACCACCAGAAAACTGACAAAATGGTGAACCCCCTACGTGATTTAAGTCTGCTAACCATGCTAACCTGAACTGAAAGGTTCAGGCATTATGCTGGCCTGCCCCTGTTACCTGGTGGAATCCACTCAGGCAATACCCTGGTCAGCCCAAGGTTCCATGGGAAAGAAGTCTGCACAAAGGTGCAGAGGACCCCTTTAAAAGATAGGCCCCTGCTCTCTCTCTCTCTCCCCCTGTTCCTGCTCTGTCCCCTCTCTCTGTTTCCCCCGCTCTGTCTCTCTATGGCGACCGGCCATGGCGGGCAGCCATTACCCTGTTACTCTTCTTAGTCTACCCATTCTGCCAGTCCTTATAATAAACTTATAGTCAATATGTCTGTCTCAATATTTCTCTTTTCTTCTTTTTAAACAAAAGAATAACAACTACCATTTTAGAGACAGGGTTCCTCTATAGATCTGACTATGCTGGAACTCAACTAGACTGGCCTGAACTCAGGTCTGCATCCCAGAGATTAGTGTGCCAACACCTGTCAAGACCCTGATTTTAACAGCATTTCCTATAACCCAGTAGTGATAACCTCTATCTACCCTACATGGGCTGACTGAGCACTCTGTAAGGTTGAGACCCAGAGCATACATCAGGCCTACCATACACCATTATGGCATTGGATAAAGACAGAGAGAACTAGTTCTCACAAATCCATAGACCCTCTTCAAACCACAGCCAACGACCTACTTGGCCTTACATCTCCCTGGTTCCATCTTCAAAGCATTAGATGCATGGGTTTCTGTCTACATCAGATTGTTGGCTTAGGGACCCCCAATTGTTGCTTATCTGCCAATCTTTCCTTTGGGTAACAGGTATCACTCTTTCCAATGGGACATATATACACCAAAATGTTTCTTACCCATGGTTAATCCAGGTTCTTCCATAAATCCTGAAAAAAATAAAAGCTAAATGTAAATTCTGTTTATTCTGTAAGAAACCATCCAAAGTCATCCCGTATGCCTCAGTTACAATTACGGTGGTTTATGGTTATCGTCATCCCACTGTCAAGAGTAGCAAATATAGTGTCATCATTGCGGCACTGTCCTTTCGAAATTTCCTCACTGCACATTTCAGTACTTACCTCATCCTTCATCCGTCTTTGCCCCAAAACTGGAAAAAAACAAAGATGTCCACAATGAGACTCCCTCTTCACAGCACCTTCCCTTTCCTCTACTAGCATTAAAGCCTCAGAACAGTGTTTTTCAGAAATCCCTTCTGTCCACTACTCTCATACCATCATGGGCTTTAACAGGGTTTTTTAACACCCTCCCGCCTTCCCTCAGTTTGTACCTGTCTATGATATGCCAGAAAGAGCCCCAGAGAGGTCCACGGCACCATTCCTAAAGAAGATTTGCTAATTTAGTTGTCTTTCAACTACCAGTTTTACTCGTAAGCCCCACAAACGAACTGCATTAAAACAGGCACTTTAAACTTCTGCCACGGGCCTTTCCCAATTTTAACTACCAGTTTTATTCACACAAAAAAGATGTGTAAGCCTCATAAGACAACTATTAAAATTGGAACCTTAATTTCTACCACAGGTCCTTCCCATGGCTCAGCTGCAGGCTTTGTTAGTGGCCACTCACAAAGGCCTGAGGCAGTGTCAGCGAACGCCTTCAACCTCGTGGTCTCTAAAATCAGCCCGTAGGGCTCTGCGTTCCTCAAACGCACGCCCGAAAAAAAATGAAGGCCTCTCGCGGTGACTCAGCATGCTCCGCCATCAGAGCCGTTGGTATTCATCAACAAGGTCAGTTGTCCCTACCAACATAGCCTTCATCATAGCGAGAACATGGGTGCCGAGTTTCCAACGGAGACTCTTAACAAGCCCAATACCACCATGTGGGTCGCGCAAGCATGCATGCAACGCCAAGCTACCGTAATCTCCATCTCATGGGCCTTAAAACTCATTGCTAAGCGTCCTCCAGCTTGAGGCGGCTCCACCTGCAAAAGACTAGCCAACAAGGCCTAAAATTACCAAACCACCAAGGACTCTTACCTGCCCGCAGTCGCCTCACAGCTCCGAAAGGCCGATATGGCGGCTGAGTCCTGTATATAAGGTCTCCTTGACGTCACGACGCACGGCCCTCCGCTGCGTCCTCTTAAGTCCCGCCCCGTCTCTCAGACTCCTCCTCAAGCCCCGCCTCTTTCCCGCTCTCAAGCTCTCCCGCCGGCCCCGCCCTCCCGCGCCTGGAGGGCGGAGTCGCCGCGAGCACGTCGAGCCCGGCCTCCGCCTCCCTGAGGAGTCAGGGCTGAGGGGAGGGGGCTCCCGCAAGGAAGGCGCTGGGGGAGGGGCGGTGTGAGGGTGACTGATTTCCTTCCGGCACGTCGCCCGCTCCGGAGGAGGGGGGCGGGGGGTTTCACTTCCGGGACGGTGTTCCGGCCCATTCCGGCCCATTTCCACCCCCGGAGGTAGGTGCTGTTCCTTGACTGGGCTCGGGCCCCGCTCCCCCGCCCCATTAGCCTATACCGGACGCTCCTTGGCCGCGTCTCGGCTGCAGCCAGCTCCTGGGGCGAGCAGCCGCTCCGCCCCACCTCCCCTCCCAGCGCTCGGCGACCTTCCCCGCCTCTTTGGCTCGGGGCTGCAGAGCTTGCGGGCCCGCCCCCTTGCGAGCCCCTCCCTCAGGACCCCGCGGCGGGGACACACCCAGACACACCCCCACCGCGGCTGCCTCCGCCGCCCTGAACCGGGTCCCGGGGCGCCGCCCCCTTCCCCCTCCCGCGCCTCACCTGTGCGCCTGCTCTCTTTGCCCGGGTTCTGTGCCATCTCCCTTCCCGCTTCGCAAGGTCCCCTTCTCCCTTGCTCCCTGACTTAACACGGAAGCTGCTCCAGTACCTGACTGGCCAACCCCAAGCGTTCCCGATTCTCCCTTTTACAGCTCTCGCCCCTCCAGTGCCGACGCTAGAGAAAGACTTTACTTCAGGGGCTTCCTCCTCACTGGGGAATTGCTGGAAAGAGCAAACAAAAAGGCGCTGGTGTAGGCTCCAAAATAAACATCTGAATTCGTGATGGCATCGACAGAGGCTCTTAATGGATTAAAAGTTTCAAAACAAACAATAACGCTTTGGAAAAAGGTCAGATTGGTTAAAGTTGCTACTTGAAAGCAGTGTTTGCACTTCCCTGTTTACTCAATGAATGTTGTAAATGCGGGCTGATGATGTGAGCTTCTCAGGACCTTCCTGATGTGTAGTCTCATAAATTTAGAGATGAATGGGATGCACAGTGAGCCACAGTCGTCGTGATACATCCGAGCTACCCTCAACTGAGACTGTTTGATGCAGTTGCAGTCTTTTAGTGTGAAATTTCAGGCTTTATTGTCAGCTTTGGGGAACCAACTCCCTTGAATTAAGGTAGCATTGCCACTTTGGAATTACCAACCTCGAGTTTGTTGGGAAGAGAAAGACTTAGTAGCTAGAGAAAGAAAGATTTACTTAATTTTTGCCTAGCCTGGCATGGCGGTGATGGCACACCTGTTAACATTCTTTAAATCTCAGCAGAGATAGTCAGATCTCTGAGTTAGAGACCAGCCTGATCTACATAGTGAGTTCCCAGGAATAGCCAGAGCTACCTAGACAGGTCTCAAACAAACAAATGCTGGGTGTGTAGTGGCTTAATCCCAGGGGAGGCAGAGGGAGTAGATCTCTTGAGTTACAGGCTAGCCTGCTCTACGGAGCAAGTTCCAGGACAGGACTAGCTACACAGAGAAACCCTGTCTCGAAAAAAAGTGATAATACTGACCATTCACATAAGAAATTAGTCACTTTATAGTCATAAACAGCCTGGGCCCCGTGTAAATTATAATCAACCTGTGTATAATTATATTTATTCTAAAATTTATTTCATCTAAAAAAAGATAGTGGATTTTTGTATGCGATCTGAAATCCTTGTGTTTGATTCCCCTCCTTGATGAATTATCTTGATACTATATAGCTTATTAATAAAGTATGGTTGGCCGGACGTTGGTGGCACACCCCTTTAATCCCAGCACTAGGGAGGCAGAGACAGGCGGATCTCTGTGAGTTCGAGGCCAGCCTGGTCTCCAGAGCGAGTGCCAGGATAAGCTCCAAAGCTACACAGAGAAAAAACAATAAATAAATAAATAAAGTATGGTTGTAGCTTGAATTTTTAGCAGTCTAGCAATCACTTTTTGGTTGTTTTAATTGCATTTTACTGTGAGACCTAAAACACCTCATGCCAGGCTTAGCTGCTCACGGTAATACTGGCACTGGGGAGGTTAGATCAGGAGCATTGGCACAAGTTTGAGGGCTGCCTTAGAGTGAAACCTTGTTGCTAACAAAACAAAACACCTTTTGGCAATTCTATTTCTATATCCAAGCATCATGAGGAAGGTACCTCTTCATATATGGAGATTTCAATTTTTTTTTTTCTGAGACAAGTTTTCACTTATGTAGATGGATTCTCCTGCCTTGGTGCCAGGTGTTAAAATTATGTTATGTGTACCTGGCACTCCTGGCCAGGAGATTTTACATTTTTAGGGATGTTTGAGCTAGAAAGCACGAAAGGAGTAAAACTGGTGCTAAGAATATGGTTTGCTCTTTCAGCAGGGTTGAATGTCTGCCTGTACTTTCAGGCATGACCATGGAGAAAAGTGGGAACATACAATTGGAGATCCCTGACTTCAGCAACTCTGTTCTGAGCCACCTCAACCAGCTACGAATGCAAGGCCGTCTCTGTGATATTGTGGTCAATGTGCAAGGACAAGCTTTTCGGGCTCACAAAGTAGTACTGGCTGCCAGCTCTCCTTATTTCCGGGATCACATGTCCTTGAATGAAATGAGTACTGTGTCCATTTCTGTCATCAAAAACCCTACTGTTTTTGAAGAGCTCCTTTCTTTCTGTTACACGGGGCGGATATGCCTACAACTAGCAGATATTATCAGCTACCTAACAGCAGCTAGTTTTCTGCAGATGCAGCATATTATCGACAAATGTACACAGATCCTAGAGGGCATTCATTTCAAAATTAATGTGGCTGAAGTTGAAGCAGAATTAAGTCAAACGAGGACAAAGCACCCAGAGAGACCTCCAGAGTCACACAGGGTTACACCGACTCTAAACCGCTCACTTAGCCCACGACATAATGCTGCAAAGGGAAACTGGAGGGGGCAGGTCAGTGCTGTGCTGGATATCAGAGAGTTCAGTCCCCCTGAGGAATCCACTAGTCCTCAGATAATTGAACAGAGTTCTGATGTAGAGAGCCGGGAGTCCATTCTTCGAATCAACAGAGCAGGACAGTGGTATGTAGAAACAGGACTAGCAGACCAGGGGGCACGGAGTGGAGATGAAGTTAGGGTCCTTGGAGCAGTGCACATCAAAACTGAAAACCTGGAAGAGTGGCTTGGGCCAGAGAATCAGCCTTCCGGAGAAGATGGGAGTAGTGCAGAGGAAGTCACAGCCATGGTGATTGACACCACAGGCCATGGTTCTATAGGACAGGAAAGTTACTCTTTAGGGTCTTTAGAAGCCAAGGTAGCTCGGCCAACCAGCAGTGAAGTTGACAGGTAAGTTTTGTTTTCCCATTTAAACCTATTGTGTAAACATTAAATGAGCTTTCTGTGTTACAGAGAGCATTTTTCTTACCTGATGTTCCTATTCAACTTATCTTGAGAGACTGGAAACATGCCAAAAGACTTGCATTATTTTCTCAAAGCAGGAAGCTCCTGGTTCTGATGTATTCACGATGTTATGAGAGCTATGGTAAAAACCAGCCACTTCTGAGAATCAGATAGCATCTGCAGCCACTCTAAAATTAGTTATTGCCAGGGCTCTCTCTGGATTCTAGGCAAGGAGCTGATTTTAAGATGTCTAGTAACGTTGCCCTTTCTCAATATAGTAACACACAGGTAGGTATCCTTGGGAAGTTTTACTTTCCTTATAAGAATGTATATTATTTCTCTTTGCCCTTACCAAATTAGAGAAAGCCTAGTACCATCAGTAATTGTTCTTCAAATTAGAGGAAATATAGTACAATGATTCTAGAGAAAAGCTTTTTCAATATTTTTCAAGTGTCACCTCACCTAGTGATATTTTCCTTGAAGCTGCTACTACCTAGGCCTGGGAGTGTCCGCACCAGTGCTGCCATGGCCTATGGTCTTCACTGTTTTCTTCCTAATATACCAAATCTATTAGAACATTTCTTTCCTTTTGATGGAAATAGCATTGTCTTTCATCTAGTCAATTCAAAGAAAAATAGCACTAGTTTAGATTGGTAATGTAAGACCCTCGGAAAGCTGAGGCTTCCAGAATCTTAGCCCAGGACCTCGGCCACCCCAAACACAGAATGGAGGCGAAAGCTTGATGCAAATTGCATGAGGCTTTATTGTAGTTTAACGAGCTAACCCCATCAAAGCTCGGGTCTTTGATCCACCCACCATGGCGGATGACTAGCAAAGAGGGCTCCTAGAGGCTCCCGAAAGATCTTATAGGGCAGCGTAAGGGGAGTGTCTAGGAGTACGCACAGGCTCACGATTGGTGTGCCTCCAGGCTTGGAGGGCTTGCCCTGTGTTGATTGGTCAACTGGTTGTTATGGCCCATAGGCCCTCCCAGGGTGGTTGCTATGCTCTCTACGTCATTGCTGTGCCCTTGTCCATAAAGCACACCCAGGGTCGTAAAGCATAGCGCCACCAGCTAACTTCCGATTGGTTCCTTGTCACGAGACAGGCATCTGACCTCTAAGTGACCAAGGCAGGTTTATGGCAAGCACGTGTTCGGCTGTTATGGCTGCCGAAAGGGAAGCTGGTCCCTTCAGTAACATTATAAGTTCTTTTTTTTTTTATTTTCACCTACTTATTTATTGAGAAAAGATTTCTATAGCCAAGGTTGTTCTAGACCCCCAAGGCAGTCCTCCTGCCTCAGCCTCCTGAGTACTGAGATTACTGGCCTGAGGCACCATGTTTGGATTTTGTTAATTGTTGTTTGTTTCTTGTTTTGTTTTGCTTTTGAGACAGGATTTTTCTGTGTAGCTCTGGCTGTCCTGGAACTCAACTCCTGTAGACCAGGCTGCCTATGCCTCCCAAATACTCCAATTAAAGGAGTGTACCACCACTGCCCAGCTCATGTATGGATTTTTGTTTTGTTTTGTTTTTTTGAGACAGGGTCTTACCCCATAGTTCAAGATGGTCTATAGCTTGCTGTATAGCCTAGGGTAGCTGCAAACTCATGCATTCTTCCTGCCTTAGGCACCCAGGCCCTAGATTATAGGTTAGCTTGTTCTTTTCCCTGCTTGAGATAGGCTGACATGAGTAAAGGCACTTAGAGCCAAGCCTGACCATCTAAGTTCAGTCCCTGGGCCCCACATGGCAGAAGGAAAGAATGGACTATAACAAGTTGTTGTCTGACCTCTACACACATGCTGGCACACACATGCCTCTCATAAACAAACAAATAAATGTGAAATTGATCTTGGGAGCATTAAAACCAACTAACTCATCTCTTTTGTTTATAGTTGGTCATGTTGACATTTAGTAGACTTAACCACATAAATCGTCTTGATTTGAGTATTTCCCATCATGTGACCTTAATGGTCTAAATATTCTGGAGCACAGAATATATATCATCCCCATTGTTGGTAACTGTTGTCCTCCTGCATTAGAACTATATCAGAAGTAGTACCTCCTTAAATAAAAAAAAAAAAAATTAGTCTATATAAACTATGTGTGAATTACCATAAAAGGAACAACCAAAGCCCCAATAGTTAACATACAAGAACCAAAATCGCCAGGCATCATGGAGCATGCCTGGAATCCTAGCACTTGGGAGGTTGAACCAGAAGGAGCCTAGCCTATATAGTGAGTGCCAGGCTATCCAAGTCTTCATAGCAAGACTGTAACTCATAAAAGCAAAACAAAACTACAGACTGGGTTTCATGTATGTTTTTACTTCCTTTTCAGTACTTACTAGAGTAGAAAGCTTGTGTGTAGCCCTCACCTTCTCATATGGTATATTTGCTTTGTCACTCTGAAAATATTTGTTTGATTTAGTCCTATTCCTCAGCTATAAGATAGAGGAGAAACAGCATTCAAGTTCTTTGGCACTAGTTGTCTATTGGTCCCCTTTATGCTCCTTTTCCAACAGATTTAGTCCCTCCGGCAGTGTTGTTTCCATGACAGAAAGATACAGAGCCAGAAGTGAGTCTCCTGGGAGAATGGATGAGCCTAAGCAACTCAGCTCCCAGGTATGTAGTTTTGGACTTAGGATTGCTGTGTTGGTTGAAGAACTTGTCACTGAATAAACAGAATGTAATGAAAAAGAAAGATGTAGGACAAACAACAGTGGCCCTGTTAAATACTGGATTTGATATATGTTAGTTTTTTTTTTCTTAAGCTTGCTTGTGAGCATGCTAGAATTAGAATTTGACATGTAGAAAGAAAAATGAAATAACTATGGAGGTGGAATAATGGCTCAGCAGTTAGAAGTACTTACTGCTCTTGCTGAAAACCCTAGTTTGGTTCCCAGTGCAAAACTGTCTGTAACTCCAGTTCCAGGGGATCCAGTGACTATAGCCACGTACGTGTGTGTGTGTGTGTGTGTGTGTGTGTGTGTGTGTGTGTGTGTGTGTGTGTGTGTGTGTGCACCCACAATTGCTTGCAGGTACCACACTCCTACATAAAAAAGTTTTTTTAATATGGAACTTTTTCCTAATGATAGCGATACCTATAAACCTGAGAGTAAAGTTAACTCCTTAACATTACACCTTTGAGTCATTTAGAACTTGGTTTAAAAAAATTTTGATTTGAGGTAGGTAGAAAATATATGTGTGTATATAGTTGCTAGTCTATGTAGTATTTATGTACATGTAAGCAAATTGCTTATGCATCTCTGTATTTTTTTTGTATGAATGCATCTTGTTACTTATTTGCATATTGAATCTTCCATCATACTACAAAGTTCTAAAGGCTAGATATGGTGGTTCACATCTCTAATCCCAGGACTTGGGAAATAGAGGCAGGATTGCTGCAAATTTGAGGCCAGCCTGAGCTAATTAATAAGTTCCAGGCCAGTAAGGGTTGTAGAGTAAAAACTCACTAGGCTTTGATGGTACATGCCTTTAATCTCAGCACCCAGGAGACAGAGGCAGGTGGGTCTCCATGAGTTCAAGGCCAGCCTGCTCTACAGAGCGAGTTCCAGGACAGCCACGGCAGTTACACAGAGAAACCCTGTCTTGAGAAACTTAAAAATGAAAAGAAAAAACGTGCAAAGACTCATGAAAATGATGTCTTCTATATTCTTCCCAACTCTCCTTAGCTAGTGAAGTGGTTGGTTGACATTTTTGTTTGTCTTTTACAGATCTTAATTATTGAGAATTGATTTTCAAAGCTGTAAACCATATAGAACACAATAAATTAGACCCGTTAGCTGGCAAAAAGGAAATACAAGTAGGTTAAGAGTGCCTAACTTTCCAGGCATACTAATGCACAACTTTAATGTCAGCACTGGGGAGCAGAGGCAGGTAGATGGATCTCTGTCATTTAGGAGCAAATTCTAGGCCAGCCAGGGCTTTGGCTACATGATAAGACCTTGTCTTTAAAAAAAAAAAAAAAAAATTGAGTAGTTCATTTTTTAACCTCCATTACAATTTCTTGTTATCTAAACCACTAGACATTTTTTGTGTATATTGGTATAATAATAGCAGTAAGATATTGTTACACACTAAATTCTTTAGTTTTGGGTTTTTTTGTTGTTGTTGTTGTTGTTGGAGGTGTTTTGAGGCAAGGTCTCCATAGCCCAGACTGACTTCAAACATGATCCTCCTGACTTTGCCTCCCTAGGGTTGTGATTACAGATGTGTGCCAATACACCCCACTGTTTTTTAATTTTGATTGAGTGGTAGAGAAAATGTTCAGAGCTAAGAGGAAAAGTAATTAGAATGCTTTTTCTCCCATCTCTCAAATCTTGTATAATAACATACAAAGGTAACTGGTTATGCAAATAGATTCAGTGATTAGGGCAGATCTTAACAGGTTTGTAGACTACACCATACAAACACACAAAAAGAAATATAAGTTCTTGCAGGCATTACCAGACCTAGTGTTGACATAATACAGGTACAATTAAACAGGTCTGTGTATTTGTGTGTGAAGAAGGTACTTGTTGTATAGAGGGTGGTGCACACGGATGTGTGGAGGTTAGAAGTATACCTTAGATGTTGCACCTTTCGCCCTGATTTTCCTTGAGAGAGAGTCTCTAACTGGCCTCATACTCAAAGGATCTGCTAGGCTGGCCGGCCAGGGATCCCTATTTGTCTCTGCATTCCAAGGGCTGGAATTAAAAACTCGTGCTGCCCACCCATCTTTTACACGTGGGTTCTGAGGATCGAATTCATCCTAATGTTTGCATGGCATGTAAGTACTTTACTGACTGAGCCATCTCCTCAGCTGTGGGTTTTTTTTTCTCTTGTAACTAAGCAGAATTTAAATGCAGTTTCCATCTTCCTTCCCTTTTCTTCCTCTTCCTTAAAAAAAAAATTCATTTTTAATTACTTGTGTCTTTGTGTGGTTTTGTATACATGAGTACAAATGCCGATGGAGGCCAGGAGAGGGCCTTGATGCCTACAGTGGTTTGAATTGAGAATGGCCCCCATAGGCTCATGTAATTGAGTGTTTGGTTCCCAGTTGTGGAACATTTATTTAATGATGCAAAGATGGTTTGATTAAGTATAATTCACCTGGGGTCAGGAGGCTGGGTTGGCAATTAACTGACATGAAGTTGTACGGAGGAGCCAGGTGGAGAATGGTTTATAAGGAGGGACGAGAAAAAGCAGGAGGACTTCTTGGAGGATAAGAAGAGGTGAGTTAGGTGAGCTGTTTGCTATTCAGCCTCTCTGGGAAGCAGGAGTTTATCTCAGCCTTTGAATCTTGACAGAGAGAGTCTGTGCCTGAGGGAACAGAGCTATTGCAGCATAGTCACTGCTGGTAGCAACATAGTAGCAGTTGCTGAATAGGATAGCCATAGCTTAAAAGGCAGAAACAATTAAAAAAGAACACATCTCCCTAATATATGTAATACTTTAAAAAAAAAAAAGTACTATCTAGAAATGTTTCAAAAGATAAAAATAGATCTACACAGTTTAATATGTAAGAAAATATGTTACGGTAAGTCAGTTTACCAATTACTTTCCTGTGCCACAGAGACCAAAGCAGAGCAAAGATTTCTATTTTTAGTGCATGTATTTGCTTTTGTATGAGTGTGTATGTGTGGTGGGTGTGCACATGTGCATGCCACAAAAGATGTGGTATCAAAGTGACTTGCAGGAGTTGGTTCTCTTCCATCATGTGGGCCACTGGGAATCCGCTTAGGTTGTCAGGCATGGAGGCAGGTACCTATACCTGCTGAGATAGCTCACTGGCCAATTTACATTGATATGAGCAAAAAGAAAACTGATGCATTGAAAATTCTGGAGAAACTAGGCAGGGGTGGTGCACATTTTAATCCCAGCACTTGGGAAGCAGAGGCAGACAGGGCTACAGAGAAACCCTGTCTCAAAATCAATTAATCATAACAAGAAAATGCTGGAGTAACCAGGCAGTAGTAGCACACCTTTAATCCAAGAACTCTGGAGGCAGAGGATCTCTGTGAGTTGGAGGCCAGCCTGGTCTACTGAATGAGTTGCAAGATAGCCAAGGTATACAGAGAAACCCAGTCTCAGAAGAAAACAAAAACAACAAAATACTGGAGCTGTAGAGCGCCTACCTTGAAGACATGAAACTTAATACCCAGCACTTCAAAAAGAGGGAGGGAGGGAGGACAAAAGTTTTGCCTAACATGTATTAGGCCCTGGATTTGATCCACAACCCTTAAAACACACACACTCTCTCTCTCTCTCTCTCTCTCTCTCTCTCTCTCTCATTACAAAAAAAAAAAAAAAAAAAAAAAAAAAAAAAAAACACCTGGGACCGAGTAAGATGGGCCAGCTGATAAAAAGTGCTTTGCTGCCAATCATAATGACCTGAGTTCCATCCCAGCACCACAGGGTGGAAGGAGAAAACAGACTCCCACAAGTTGTCTTTTATGCACATAATTCAACAGACATACAAATAAGTAAATGCAATAAAAGATTTTTAACTCATTGATAGACTAGACTTCTGACTTATAAGGGTGAATCTGGAACAGATTACCAAAGTTACCTCTTAAAAGAATTTTCTTTGCCAGGCGTTGGTAGCCTTTAATCCCAGCACTAGGGAGGCAGAGGCAGGCGGATCTCTGTGAGTTCGAGGCCAGCCTGGTTGCCTGAGCGAGTGCCAGGATAGGCTCTAAAGCTACAGAGAAACCCTGTCTCGAAAAAAACCAAAAAAAAAAAAAGGAATTTTCTTTTTTTCTACCACTGGAAAGTTAAAAATACTTGGCCTAACTTTTAATTTTTGCATGTCGGTTACAGTCTTTCCAGCTCAACTGTCCCGATACTCATCAGCATTTACTATCTGTTTTAACATGTAGACTTCTCAGTGCATGCTATAATCCCGTCAGATTCTTTTGAGTCTGAGATTCCTCCCTTATCTGAGTCCACTGAAAGCCTCCCTCCCAAATCCTCCTTACCCTAATGAGTCCAATGTTCTTTGACCTTTTTTTCTTAAACCACTATATTATAGCATTCCACATACTCTGCATTGTTTTTCCTCTTTTTTTTTTTAAGGCAAGCACTCTACACTGAAGAAAATCCTAAGTCTCCTACCTTTTCCTGATTCTCTAATTCATATAAATTGTTCTTTCCTGATTGTTTTATTTTGTAGCTCTTGTCAAATTGAAGTCTCCTTGCCAGCAAAAGACTGTTTCTAAACTTTTTTTATATCTTTGACATTGTCTTGTCAGTTTTACTTCTAACAGTAGTAACTGTTGATTTTGTCCATTGCAAATATCACAAACTATGAAAGTTATAGCTACTAAATGGGATTATTTAGTTGCTTGTGAAACAGTTAAAGGGGAAAGCAAAAACTCTCAGCTTTGAAGAGCTTTAAATAACATTAGTGATTTTTGGTTCCTTTTCAGTTTTTTGAGTATCTGTTAGCAATTAAAGATTAAAATGAGGGGAAAGTTTGAAGTCCATGTCAAGTACATGGGATACTTGTTTTACAAAGTGTAGAAACTATCCAGGCAATGGTGGCATACTCAGATCTCTTGAGTTTGAAGCCAGCTTGGTCTACGCAGAGAAATCTTGTCTCAAAACCAAGAAAAAAATGGAGAAGTTTTCAGAGGTGGTGGTTCACCCCCTATAGTCCCAGCACTTGGGAAACTGGGTCAGGAGGATCACTTTGAGTTTGAAGTCAGTCTGGACTATATAGAAGTTCTAAGGCAGCCTAGGCTGTAGAGTAATACTATGTATCAAACTGAAAAAAAGTAAAAGAAATTGCTCATTTATATGGATTTGTTATTTGGTTTTTCAAGACTGGGTTTCTCCTTGTAGCCCTGGCTGTCCCAGAACCCACTCTGTAGACCAGACTGGCCTTGGACTCAAGAGAGCCACCTTCTTGATTCCCAAATGTTGATAATAAAGGACATGCTCCAGCATGCCTGGTGGAATAATTAATTCTTAAAATGGGCTTTTGAAGCAAGTACTGATTGAATTCATAGATATTTGGCAATGCAGAATATCCCTGTATGTATATATTATAGGAAATTGCTAAGTGGGACAGAAAAAAACCATTGCAGGAATCAGCTCTCTCCATCCACCCAGTGGGTCCGAAGGATTGAACTCAGGTTATCAGACTTTGGGGTGGAGGTATGCTGCTGTTTTGAGACAAAGTCTCTTTACTTAGACGTGGCAGTCCTCCTAGAACTCAACTGTGTAGTGCAGGCTGACCTTGAACTCCTGAGTGCTGGAATTAAAGGCCCCGTTGTCTGGCTTTTCGTCAAGTGTTTTCACCCATGGAGCCAACTTGCCATCCCTCCTCCTTTGTCAAAGTTCAAAGCAAAAAACTATCCAAAGTTATAGTGCTTCGTTTGTTCTTCAATTGCAACTTTACTGTGATCGTTTTAAATGAGATTAGTCACAGTGCATGGTTTTTGTAATCATAGTTCAGTGGTTATTAAAATGCATCATTTTCTGTGTGTGCATAGAACTGGTGTGGTGTGATTTTATTCAAAGTTAGGAAGTTCTTTTTAGGAAATTATATCCTCATGATTATAAATAAAATAAATTTGAAATTGACTTGACACATGAGGGCAGGAAGGGAACTGGATATGACATATATGTACGTACATATGAGTTTATAATACTTAATACATACACACAAATATATGTTTGTAATGTTTAATTGATAACAACTATTGAACTGAAGTGCTCAAGTGTATTAGTTTATTCAGTACTCAACACAGCCTCTGAAGGAAATGATCCAGAAAACAGAAAACTAAGGATAATAAATGGAACTCAAATTTGAATCCAGGGCACTCTTAACTGTTATATGATGTCATGCATTCAAATTTTTCCAAAGTACCTGAGTTTGATGATATAATACCAGCCACACAGGAGACTAAGCAGGAAGATATCTTTTTAAAAATTTTATTATTCATATTTTATGTGTGGTTGTTCTGCAAGTATACCTACACACCAGAAGAGGGCCTCAGATCCTATTATAGATAGATGTGAGCCACCATGTAGATGCTGTGAATTGAACTCAGGACCTCTGGAAAAGTAGCCAGTGCTCTTAACCTCTAGCCCAGGAAGATATCTTGAGCTAGCGATGTTTGAGGCTAGCCTGGGCAATACATTGGGACTCTGTTGCTAAAATAAGATTTTGTTTTTGTTTTTTTGAGACTAAGTCTCACTTGTGGCTCTGACTGACCTTGAACTTGTGGTATTCCTCCTATGTCTATGTATACATTTCACCCTTGATTTTACATACTGATTTCCAGATCTGCTGAGAAACTGCTTCCTTTGGAAATGCTGAAAAGCCCTGACAGCTAGTGCGTGAGAAAGAGACAAAAGATTGTTTTTAGAAACTAAAACATATGGAGCTGTTAACTTAGGTGGATCTTCCTCTAGTTAATCCAATATTTTATTTTCTTTGCATTAATACCTTGGCTTCTGTTAAAAATTATAGTTGTTTTCTACATGATTTTGTTTTTTAAAAAATTGACTATAATTTTTAGTAGCCAACAGCATCCCCCCAGAAAAATTAGTAATTTTTTTTTTGTTTTTTGTTTTGTTTTGTTTTGTTTTTTGAGACAGGGTTTCTCTGTGGCTTTGGAGGCTGTCCTGGAACTAGTTCCTGTAGACCAGGCTGGTCTCGAACTCACAGAGATCCACCTGCCTCAGCCTCCCAAGTGCTGGGATTAAAAGCGTGTGCCACCACCGCCCAGCTAGTAATTTCTGAATTGTACTATTTAACATAGAATTTTGAGCTAAAGTGCTTATCACACTAAAACATATTTTAAGATTTATTTTACTGTTTTATTTTTTTATCTATTAGACAGAGTTTGACTATGTAGTCCTGGCTGGACTCAAGGTCTCTACTAGCCTCTGCCTCTCAAGTTTTGGGATTAAAGACATGCACCACCATGCCCAACTTTATTGTTTCTTCCAAGTATGCGTGTTTCTGTGGTAGTAGGGGGGGCTATGTGCAGATGCCTGCAGAAGCTAAAAGTATCAGATCCCCCTGGATCTGGAGCTGCAGGTAATTGTAAGCAACCAGACATGAGGTGATAGGAACCAAGCTCTGACCCTCTGCAAGAGCTTTGCACATTCTTAAGTTACTTGTTTAGAAGAATATAGTCTTATCCTTCCAGCTTTCAAATGGGAAAACCCATGTCTTCGGCCAATTTACTCTGAAATCACTTAAAGCTTTTTAGTTTTTAGGGGGCTGGAGAGATAACTCAGTGGTTAAGAACACTGACTATTCTTCCAGAGGACCCAGGTCATTCAATTCCTACCATCTATAAGGGACTCAAACTGTTTGTTACTCCAGTTCTAGGGGACCTGGCACCCACTTCTGGTGCCCAAGAGCACCAGGCATACATGATGCATAGACATACATGCAGGCAAAATACTCATACATAAAATAATAAAAAATGTAAAGAATTTATTTTTAGCATGATAGCATGTGCTGATATATTGCATTATTGCCTACAAATTGTATATACTTTTTATAAAGCTAGATAACTACTGGCTAACATGGTAATGAACGTGTCATAAAGGAAATTTTACTATATTTGCCTTTATATACTCCATACTTTCATATATAGTAGACATAAGCCACATTTGCATTTTGTTTTAATTAGCTAAAAGCAATTGAGATTTTTTCCTCAGTTGCACTAGGCATATGAAAAATGCTAATAGCCTCAAATTATAGAACATTTCCATCACAGAAGTTCTATATACTTTGTAGTTGATTGTCTATAGTGGTAAGGATAAAATCAATATGTGGGCTCATATTTTCTTATTACTGTAAAATAGTACTAAAGAAATTTTCAGTTTGACTTTTGGCTTTAGTTTTTTGACATGTCTCATGTAGTCTAGGCTGGTCCTCAACTCCCTATGTAGCCAAAGATAATCTTAAACTCCTAATCATGATGTTTCTACCTCTCAAGTGTAGCAGAGGCTTAATAAGCATCTGGTTCATCAATCAGAACTTTGGGTTCCTCTTTTTTTTTTTCCTTAAAACTTCTTTATTTTTCACCTTATTTGCATTGGTGTTTTTCCTGTATATATGTCTGTGTGAGGGTATCAGATCTTGGGGTTACAGACAGTTGTTGGGTGCTGGGAATTGAACCTGGGCCCTCTGGAAGAACAATCAGTGCTTCCAATACTGAACTATCTCTCCAGCCTCTGTGTTGCTCTTTTTACAGTAATGTAGTAAATAATCTCAGAATAATTCCTCCACTTCTTCTACTACTACTACTACTACTACTACTACTTCTTCTTCTTCTTCTTCTTCTTCTTCTTCTTCTACTTCTTCTTCTTCTCCTTCTCCTCCTCCTTCTCCTCCTCCTTCTCCTTCTCCTTCTTCTCTTCCTTCTCCTTCTCCTCCTCCTTCTTCTCCCTCTCCTTTTTCTATTCTTTTCTTTCTCTCTCAATACTATTTTTTCTGAAACTGTGTTCCTTGTTGCCCAAGTTTTCTTTTTTTTTTTTAATTTATATGCATTGGTGTGAAGGTGTCAAATCCCTTGGAACTAGAGTTATAGACAGTTGTGAGCTGCCATATGGGTGCTGGGAATTGGACCCAGTTCCTCTGGAAGAGCACCCAGTGCTCTTAACCACTGAGCCATCTCTCCAACCCCCCTCAGAATTCTTCTTCATTATTATGTTAATATATTTACTTTTTGAAAGTAGTGAATTTCCATCATGGCTCTCCATTACAGGTAAGTATATATAGGGTAGGACTGTAACTAAGGGGTACAGCATCTGCCTAACTTACACAAAGCCCTACATTCTATTCCTTATACTACACAGACACACAAAAATATACATCTTAGTAACAGGTATAGGTAGATTGGGTTGCTTTTAACATATATGCTTGATAGTCATTATTTTCTTCTTCTGACACAGGTAGAAGAGTCAGCAATGATGGGAGTAAGCGGCTATGTGGAATATCTTCGAGAACAGGAAGTATCTGAGCGGTGGTTCCGGTATAATCCCCGTCTCACTTGCATCTACTGTGCCAAATCTTTCAACCAAAAGGGAAGTCTGGACCGCCATATGCGCCTGCATATGGGAATCACACCATTTGTTTGTCGAATGTGTGGAAAAAAGTATACCCGGAAAGATCAGCTAGAATATCATATCCGAAAGCACACAGGCAATAAGCCCTTTCACTGTCATGTTTGTGGCAAAAGTTTCCCCTTCCAGGCCATCTTGAATCAGCACTTTCGGAAAAACCACCCTGGCTGTATTATACCCCTGGAAGGGCCTCATAGCATTTCTCCTGAAACAACTGTCACATCTCGACAGGCTGAAGAAGGGTCACCTACGCAGGAAGAAACAGTTGCTCCTGGGGAATCTGCCCAAGGCTCAGTGTCTACTACTGGGCCAGATTGAAATATTGAGGGGGAGGGGGCAGACTCCCTTCCCCTTTGGGCTGTAACCAGCCCATATCAGGACCATGGGCTGGTACTTCGATTCACAAAATGCCACATCGCTCAACTAGAAGATGTTCCCATGGTGTTGCCAAATTAGAGGGTCAACATGCAGCAAGCACTAAAGGCTCTTCTCTTTCCCACCTCACACTTTGGAAAATAATCAAGCAAATCAGCTTCTAATTCAGGGATCAACAGCCTTGGTTTGTTAACTTTATAAGAAAAAACTGTTTTTAACAAAACTGATCAGTAAATGGTCATTTATCTACCAGTCATGATTGAACATTGTACTTAGGTCCATATCATCTTGGTGGGTGAAAAATCCTAGATCTTAAAAAAAAAAAAAAAAAAAAAAAAAAAAAAAAGCAACAGGAGCTTTGGCCAACTGAAGCAGCCAGCAGAAGTGGGAAATGTAGTCACAATGGTGAGAAAGGGGAATCTTTCCTTCCTGTTCCCTGCCAGAGCATGCATTTCCATATTTTAAGAAAAAGAAATGAATACTGGTGGTTCTTATTATTCTAAAAGGTTAGACTGTCTTTGCCCTGGGGAGGCATCTATTACTTTGCCTAGTTGTTTCATGTGATTGGCTACCTTGGAGCAGTAGTCAAGTGAGTAGCATCACCTGAAGCATGTTAGACAGGTAAAGGGAGCAGCCAAGCATTTACAGTGAACACTTCTACATGTGGGAGCTTGAGATCGAGGAGAAAGGAAGGAAGTGTTTATGCTTTGCAAACACTGTACAGCACAGAGCTGAGCTGCAACCTTCTGATTGGTGTTTGTAAACCATAACACTTGTGTACATCCTTAGGTGTTAAAAAAAAAAATGTTTCTAGTTATGTGAGTTATCCTGTTAGGCTGACTACCAAAATGTCATCATCCTCTGCAGCTCCTAGTTTCATATAGCAGCAATAGTGTACATCAAAATGTCACCTTCCAGTGAAAAGATCCTGGATTGTATTTTTAAATCCACGGGTCTCCACATTTGATAACTTTTATATGAAATTTTTAAGCAGTTTTTTTTTTTCCTGCAATATTGTAGTTTAAGAGAGATTCAACTCTGTTGTTCTTATTGCAACCACAATTTCATTTCCTTCTACGTGTTTTGTACTTTATATTTTCAGTCCAATGAAGAACCTCACTTAAATATATGTCTTGGATTTGCAGATCTATATATAATTCATAAACCAATTTTTTTAATAATACACTACAGGGCACTTAACTTACAAGAAACTATCTTGCACAACCATGTTGCAATAAATGATCGAGGGATCAATTTCTATCAGGTATGGTTACATAATCATTCCTAAGATTTTTGAAACTTCTAGGGACTTTTTTTAGTGATTTTGATTTTTTCCGAGATTCTTAATCCAGCTCTGAATTTACCAAACACATAGAGCTTTATATGCCCTGTCTTGCATGCAGAGAAAGGAGTAGGAATGCTAAACAATACAGGCAAAAAGATGCCTGAAGTCTACAGTGCAAATAGAAGTCTCTAGCTTCTCTTGAGTAATTTTAAAAGACTATCTAAATGTGTAATGGTTTAAGTAATTGTTTTGGTACAGGGATGTGGATGATCCTAAGAGATCTGGGAAAGGGGCTGGTCCTGCCTGCACTAGTGAGCCATTTATGAGAATGTGAAGTTTGTGCTCCTTCCTTATGAGCACCTTGTGGTATGGAAAGGTGGAAAAATACACTCTTGATGATAAGAAACTGGAATGCAAAGGGTAGCTTTAAGCAATCTGAGAATTGTGTATATTATATCACTAGAGAACGGTTTTCTCTTCAGAAAAAGTACAGAAATTCATCTTTTAAAGGAGTTTTATGGTGCTCCAATTGAAGAGCCTGCCCTAAAAAGCAGCACTGAAAAGTAGTGTCTTTGATAATCACAGGCAGGCTTCTTGCTACTTAGTTGGGCAACAGCGTGATGGAGTGAAAACTATAGTAGAGATTACTATGCTCTGTGGCATAAAAATGTAAAGTTCCCGGGAAACATTCTAGCTTTCAGTGGACAGATTCTGTCATCACTGAACAGGCAGGTAGCTGGTAAGTACAGAAAATGCTGCTTTAGATGGATTTTTTTTAATGTAACCAAAAATATTTTAAGTCTACCCTTCTTTTAAAAAGTTAAGTTGTATGCTGAAAAGTTATTTTTTGCATTGTTAGCTTTTTAGGTCAAATGTGAGTAAATAGAGCTTTTAACTATTACCAAATTATAAAGTTCAAGTGCAGTAAAGAGAAACTTCGGAGCACTTATCAGCACTCCATCCAAGGTCAGCCGCCAACATCTTGAATAGGGTAGAGACTATTGTCATGTGGAGATGTTAGGCATGTTTGGCAGGCTCTCTTCTGTTTTCATTCATTTCTAATAGGTTTTTACTATATTGATACTGTGAATAGAGTGCTTCCGGTCCTACGACCACATCAGCACAATCATCTTTGCTGTCTCTCCTCTAATTGGCCTAGCCAGAGCCATGAAATTCATGAGACTTCTAGCCAGGCTACCTTTGAAGCAAATTAAAGTTTTCAAAAATAATCCTCTGTTTTAGCTAGAAGTAATACCATTCTAAATATACAGGATTCATATCCAGATTCACTGTGACATTGTCCTACTTCTTTGCCAGCATCACTAGGGTCGTAAGGGTTAGTAGTATACTAGCTATATTAATGAATATTGGTGTATACAAGGAGTATGCTCATTAAGGGTGTACTAAATTGACTTGAGCTGATGCTGAAACTTACTGCCAAATCTTGACTTGCACACGTCACCTTGTGAGGGGAACTGCATTAAGAGTGAGAGCTAAATCAGTAGGTAACTTAATGCCATGAAATTGCAGTATCAGGAACTATTATTGTTAAGTGGCACTTAGCAGAGGAGCTATCCAATATTGTCATCGGAAGCAGAGAGTTGCCCACATGAGTTATCTATTTTCACTCTAAATAGACTCTTTATGCTCTCTGAATTCTGATACTGATATAACTGTGGCGTTCACATGGCAGTAACACTGTATTTACTCAGAAAGGCTCTTCCTAATGAATTCTTCTCTTTTTACTCAGAACCATAATTACCTCTAAACTGAGTTGAGTTTTATTTTATGTAAATTCCAAGCAGCTCCATAGTTTGGGAGGGTTTGTTTTGTTTTTGATATTTGAGATAAGGTCTTTGCTATGTAGCCCCTTGCTGTCCTTGTCCTCACTATATAGCTCAGCAGGGCCTTGAACTCATAGGAATCCTTCTGCCTCAACCTCGTAAGTACTGAGATTACAGGCATGTACCACCACACCTCGCCCCCATTCCATTTTTTTTTCTAATAACGAACTAAATCTAATCTGGCCTCATAAAATTGAATTAGTTTATAAAAGACAGAGAAGAAAAAAAGCAGTTAAAAGTTTTCTTGTATTTATGCATTTTTCTGTTTCCAGTTCCCTTGACATCAGTGAAACAAAGATGGTATATGAGTAAACATAGATTGTCCCTCCTTCTTCATAGTGGAAATCCAGCTTCAGTTGGAATTGTCTGGTGAACTTCATTTTTAATAGCTGAGTAGTCCTTTGTCCAACAAATAGCTTTTATACAGTCTCAACTAACTAGCTCACACTAGTTTTTCTTTTGACTGGTGTAATTACTTTTTGTTTGACAAGAAGGTCTAATACAAAGACACAGAAGCAGTGGAAAATGGAAAAGGAAAGACTTTTCCTTTTCTTTACGGTTTTTCAAGACAGGGTTTCTCTGTGTAGTTCTAGCTGTCCTGGAACTCGCTCTATAAACCAGACTGGCCTCAAACTCAGAAATCCGCCTGCCTCTGCTGGGACTAAAGGTGTTCGCTATCACAACCTGGCAAGGAAAGACTTCTTAATGTAGTAGAAAAAGCTCTTTAATCAGAAAGATTTGGATTCTTGTATGTAAGCAGGCGTAATTTATTTTTCTCTTCCAAATATGCCATTTTTGTTATTTGTAAACTTATTTATTCAAGCAATATTGAATTAATAATCTTTGGGAATGGAGCTTTTTCCATAAGGCAACAATGGAAAAGAACTTACAATAAGAAAATATTTTCATAGCTGAGTTAGGAAAGGAACAGCAAGCTATTGCCAGGTAATTCACTGACTCTGAGAGTAGCCTTCAGCAAAGCAGATCCCTAGGGCTCTGAGTTAGATCAGGGGTTCAGCAAACCATGGCCCTTTATGACTATTTGCCACCTGCTTATAGGAAGAAAATTATACTTTACACCTATTTGCTTAGTTATGTTTATGGTTTCTTTGTACTATAATAATAAAGTTGAGTATGTGTCTAACAAAACCTAAAAATACTGTATCTGGAAGGTGTCAAAGAAAGTTTGCCATCTTCTGGCTTACTTCCAGAAGGTTAACTCCACATGATTACACCTTTAGCATAGTGTGATAGAGACTTCAGAAGAGTGTGTCATCTTTTTCCAGATCCCCATAAACCCTCTTAGTTTTTCTTCTGCTTGATTCCCATTCCAAAAAAGGGCAATTATAATGGGTTATGAGCCAAAAAGAAGCAGGGTTATGATTTGCCCTTGCCCAAAAGGTATAAGTAGATTAAGTTTAGAATAGTAATTGTTTATAGCAAGATACCGCTTATAAGAAAAATTTCACTTACAACAGGGTGGAGCTAAATGAGTACCCTGTCAAAAGCTTTTTGTAAGTTTTGCCATTTCTGATCTTGCTTAAGCTGATTTGCATAATAATGACATAAATGAATTTAACCCCTTAGAATTAAAGAGAAATATCTGTTATCGATAGTTGTTACGGTTGTGATGACTCTTGCCTGTATCCTAGCCCTTAGGAAGGAAAGTAAAGATAAGGATCCAGAGTTCAGAATTATCTTTGGCTACATAGTTTGAGGGTGGCCAAGGCTACATGAGACTCTGTCTCAAAACAAAACAAAACATGTTTGATTCTTATCAGATGTACTGTTTTTCTAGATTAGACATCTATGCTTTTCCCTTCATTTTAATCTTAAGAAAACACTCTGTACACATCTTTTGGATGTTTTAAAACATCCTATTCTTAGACCTATTCTTGCATATCTGGTATTGTCTAGTTTGTTAAAATACATGTTGGACCATTACATATTTGCTTTGTAAACATTCATTCTTAGTGTTATATAAGGTGTGGAGAAACGTGAAATGTTAAAGGTGTTCATAAAAACCCTTCCAAGAGGAGAATATGGTTTCTCCCCATTTGGAAGTAATACATGGGCATTAGAGTTTCACTTGGGCTAGGCTGAGGTACTGCAGTACAATGGGAGTTTGATTTGTTTTTATAAATCCTATAGTCATAGATCAAAGTGGGATGAGTAACTAACTAGTCTCCACATAAAACAAGTCTTTGATTTGGTTTGTTTTAGTTTTGTTTTTTGTTTTGTTTTGTGACAGGGTCTCACTATGTAACACTGGCTGGTCTAGAACTCCCTATATAGGTCAGACTGGCCTGGAACTCACAGCTATCTGTCTGCCTCTGCCTCCTAAGTGCTGGGACTTTGGCATTTGGCCACCCAGGCTGACCACCTCTTTGTTCTTAAAGTTGCCTTCTAATAAGATACTACTTTGTTTTATGTGGTACAGCCACTGAAGAATAGATAATCCTCATTGTAAAGTTTCAGAATATTCATCTATGTTAAATCTGCCTTGTTTCAGAGCACATTACACTTAGTCATAATAGGATTTCTGATTGTTCCAGGACCTGTTACTTGAGAGAGAACTTGGCTGCAGATAACTGAATCATCCACCTATGCTCTGTTTAAAGGTCTTGCTAATTAATAGATGTCATTCAAGTAGGAATTGATAGCAAGCTTTGGAGTTTGCCCAGCATTATGACTAATTCTCAGTGTTTTTGCTTCTGTGCTTTCCAAGGTTTTTCCTGGTCTTCAGAGCAGGATTTTTAAATGCTGCTTTTCCCCAGGCTGATGTTTTCACTTAGATAGTAAGTGGGCTTCTTCTTCAGGATAGACCAAAGTTGAATAGTGTGAGTATGTTAGAACACCAGAGCTTGTTATAGTACAAAGAAAGTAATTGTTGCTACGGAGAGTGACCTCAAATCCACATTATCTTTACAGAGGGTATAAAAATAATTTTTATAAATAATTTCTAATCTCACATCCTTCCCCTTGTATATCAGAAACACTTCTTAACATAGTTAAAAGAACCCCAGTAGCTCAACTAGTAGAAGCTTTAAACAGCAAAGCTAACTTACAAAGACAGAGAGAACACAGTGTGTGTATGTGGGGAGGGGGGGTTGCTTTCCTAATGCTTGTTATTTGTGTCTACTCAGTAGGTCCTGTGGAGGAGTCTCAAACGCACCACCCAGTTAAGGTAGTCTTCCATTGAGCATCACATGTGACCAACACCATAATTGAATACCATGAATCTTAGCATGTGAATTAACCCATAATGCCAGAAGTTAAAGTATCTCATGGAGACATGCAGTTACTTATCTTCACTGGTAGGTAATATACAAGAAACTTATATCCATTAAATAAATGTTAGATACTTTTTGGTACCAAACAGTGTGGTTGGAATCTGTAAAACAAAGTTAGCTTTAGTTAGTTCTTCTGGAGTTTTTGTTTTGTTTTGAGTTTTTTGTTTTTTGTTTTTTTTAAGAGACAGGGTCTCTCTAGGGAGCCCTGACTGTCCTAGAATATGCCAGGCTGGCGTTGACCTCATAGAGATCTGCTGCCTCTGCCTCCACCTCCTGAGTGTTGGGTCCAAAGGTGTACTCCACCATGCCAAGCATGACTTCCCATTCTTGAGAATCCCACACCTACTTTTTGGGAGTCTGAGGCACTGTTTTTTTTAGAGAGCTTGCACTTTTTACTATAGAGAGAGAAGTTCTAAAGAAGCACCTACCTGTTCTTTGTGTTCTACTAGCATATCTGCAATTATGTCAAAATATTTCTGAGGTGATAAGAGTAATAATAAAAACAGTCAACTTTCTTGAGTGTTTATATGCCAGACACAGTTGTATGAATTTATCTAATCCTTGTCAGTCTGTTGTGATTGTTGTTACCTTCATTTTAGAGAGAAGGACATTCCTTGTCTGTACATAAGCAGTCTAACCAGATTTTCTGGATAGCCTTCAGTGCCTTTAGAGAGTATAATTATGGCACATTTTATAGATGAGGGTACATAACTTGACAGCTTGTATTTACCAATCCAATTCCAAAGCCCAGACTACCTCTACTATATCACATTTACTTTCTGTACAGTATCTAGTGATGTTCCTACTTTTAGTGAACTTGCAATCAAGAGTAGAGGCTGGAGAAATGGTTAAGGCTCAATGGTTAACGGCATTGACTGTTCTTCCTGAGGCCTACATTTGGCTTCCTAGCACCTCCATGACAGCTCACAACTGTCTGTTATTCCAGTCCCAGGGGATCCAAAGCCCCCTTCTGGCCTCTTCAGGTACTAGGCATGCACATTGTACAAAGACATACATGCAGGCAAAACACCCATAGACATATAAATAAGTAAAATTTAGTACAACCCAAGAGTAAGTTATTAGCATATTTCTTCAAAGGATCATGTAGTTGGGCTCTATGCAGACTTGAGTAGGAACATTGCCCACTTATTCAGAAGAATTACCCATTTGGTATATCTAATTTTAAGTAAGTTGAGTGAGTTACTGTTTAAAAATAAAACTGTTTTCTGGTCATCTATTGCTGTGTAATAAAGTACCCTAAAGTTTAACTTGAAAGTCGCTTAACAACCATTTTATAAATCTTGACTGTAAAAAGTTAGAAATGAAGGAAGGGGCAGGTGTTTGAACTGGTCTGGAAGATCCAAGATTATGTCATGCATGCTTAATGTAGGGAGAATTGAAAAGCTGGGCTTTTGCCTTTCCTTTGAAGGATTTTTTTTTTTTTTCAAGACAGAGTTTATCTGTGTAGTTTCACTCTGTAGACCAGGCTGGGCTTGAACTAAGAGATCCACCTGCCTCAGCCTCCCAGGTACTGGGATTAAAGGCATGCACCACCACCACCTGGCAGGTAGTTGGGCTTCTTAATATGGAAGCTCAGGCCAATAAAACCTGGGCAAAAGATCTGGTCTTCTTAAAGGCCACGCCAACAATCATCATGAGATCACTTCCATAAGCCCAGATCTTAGGGAAGAGGAAATACCCTAACACTTTATGAAATACATAAAGAGATTTTGAGACCATGTTTAACTGTTTACAGGTAACATTATGTTTTTAATTTTTTTTCCTAGACATTTCATGGTCAGTTATTAGTGCCATTGAAGCCATTTATTACATCTACTGTGGGGCAGTTAATGATCTAGGAGAATGAGACAAATAGTTGAGACTCATTTTATTAGTTACTCCCCTTCCCTTGAGTTCCTTTTAAAGCAGTCATTCCTTTTCCACTTTGTACTGTGATCAGGTTTTGAGCTTTTGCTATAGTTGCTGTGAAACCATGATAGCTCTACAGGCTGAGCCAAAAATACTCCCTAAGAAGTAAAAAGCTCACTGTTTGAAATTTTGGGGTTTTGTTTTGTTTTGTTTTTCTTTTTTGGAAACAGCTGTATTTTCAGTTTATAAATATGTGGAAAACTTCTGTGATAGGGCTACTAAATCATTTTCAGGAATTTCTGTTGTGGGCTACATATCATATTGTTGAGATCATAAGAGGTTCTTCTACTGAGGTCTTACATGTGTTTCAGGCAAAAGTTCTAACCACTGAGCTACACCTCCAGCTTATGATAGTAAACGTTTTACCTACTTATCTCATTTCATCTCTATCTCTACCACTTCTCCTCTCATATAATTTTGTGCTGAAAGATGAATTGCCTGATCCCATTCTTAGTACTTTTCTTATAGGAAAGTCAATTGCCCAATTTTGTGTGTCATTAGTTTGTGTTTCCAGCCTCTCACATTCAAAGTCACAGGTCATTGAAGTTTTTTTGAGGCTGGAGTTGTCAGATTTATAATGCTTTATTTAAACCCCTGATGACTTAAAATAATTAGACTATAAAACTTAAACTATCCTGTACTGAGAAGATGGTAGAGAACTGTACTCTACTCATTGTCCCCTATCAATACCCCTCCAAGAGAAGGAAGGTCTGAGATAGCACGTGAGATAGATACATTCCCAGAAAAGTAGCTGTCATTCCCGTTCTCATGCAATATAATGATCTCTGTTGCTAAGTGAGGCCTAGGGAAATAGAGGGGGACTAGGAGCCAGGTACTTACAGTGTCATTAGATACCCAGAGGTAGAATGGAGATTAATTGGATTGTATCGTGTAAAGATCTGGAGAAGTTTTTAGTGAATAAAAAGAATAGAACTTAAAGCTTTTTTTAATACTCATTTCCACTGTGGTATACTCTATCTCTGCCCTTTTTTCGGGGAGGGGGAAGTTCGAGACAGGGTTTCTCTGTGTAGACCAGGCTGGCTTGGAACTCACAGAGATCCACCTGCCTCTGCCTCTCTCATGCTGGGGTTAAAGGCATGTGCCACTGCTGCCCAGCAAACTCTGCCCTTCTTGACAGAGAAACTTTGAAATCACAGTCGTAGGAAATGGCAGTTTTACTGTGATAACCAATGTTATGACTCACATATTATCTAACTCATTGGGAACTTCTCTGGAATCTTTGTGGTCTCGAGGTTAGAGTCATTGTATGGTTGCAAAGAAAAAGAGAGCAAGATGAGAAAAGGGAATCACAGATTGACAATCTTTCCTTTCCTTTCAGCGTCACAGTCACGACATCCAGAGTGAGTAGATGCTACTTGAGGGTTAGAGTTCCACCCTTAGCCTCATCTTGAGCAGATGCTGATGACATTTGAGAATGGTCTGTTTCCTGTAAGTCATAGAAACCCAACTGCAGTGGTTAAGAACCACTCAAAACCAGAGATGCTATGCAGGGAACAAAACTTAAATGTGTTTCCTCTGGAAGCCAAATTACTAGAGAGGTCACTAAAAGTGTGCTGGAAGTCACCTCTGAAATGCTATCAGATGGCAAACATTTAGAGTTTATATGGAGTTTCTAGTATTTTTACATAAATAACTTTTAAGTCTGGTAATGAGTCTTGTTTTTTAATGAGCCTGTTTTCTTTTTGGAAAATTGGCTCAATAAAAGTATCGCTAAAGAATTCAATTGTATATGCATGTGCATTTAACACAGAGTGGTATACTGAAGATAGTTCATGCAAATAACTTTTATGGGAAGTTTAGCTATTTTCTTAATGTCTTTTTCATAAATGTATGTTTATAAATATATTTACTCACCTACCATGATCTTGGTAGCATAGAAGCATTTCATTAGTTGTGTTGTACTAAAAATTAAATTCTTGGCATAGTAGGTTATGAGAGCTTTAGTTAACTTTGTTATTTGGGTTAAAAAAATTTTCTTGCACTTTCTGTTTATAAAGATGTTATAACACATCTAACAGTTAGTGCAGCTGCTTTTTTTTTAGAGCCAGCATATGTAAGTATTAAAGTGATATATATGCTTAAAGCCCTCAAAAAAGAAAATGTGCATATAGCTACCTGAGAAGGGTTAGGGATCAGTACACAAAATACAGCCTGAAAGTTAGCTGTTGGGATACACATACTGTTGCTGTGAATTGCAATATATTGCTGAGTTGTCAGGTATATGTGTGTGAATTATGTATATGTAAGGAAAAGGTGTTTAATGAAGGCACAGATAAGTCAGTGTAAAATATCCTACCTCCTGCTAAATAATGATCATATTCAAGATTGCCCTGTAGCCCTTAGACGTGAGCCTGATTCCCCAGCCACTCTAACCCCATCCTTTTCTACATTTCAGCTTCTCTACCTCTGAGCATTTCCCTGAAAAAATAAGGTGTAGCTTTCTAAAGCAAGCAGAGGAAAGTTAGACTCAAAATACAGAGGTTACCATGCAGATGTTAATGTTTGATCTGTACCTCCCTAGCCACACACCTGTCTGGTAGAAGTGCCTAGTAGAGGTAGACAAGAGGCTTTCTTGGTTTTGCTATCTGTGCTACATACACATAGACAGAGTTTTACTTTGTTACTCAGACTGGCCTCAAACTCTCCATTCTCCTGACTCACCCTCCATTTTTGCTGCCCAAGGACAGAACCCCAGGCCTTGCTTTGTAGCTCAGGCTGGCTTAAATTTTTACTGTTCCTTCCTTGGCCTCTTGACTGCTGCCACTTCCAACATGTGCCACCGCACCCACTTTTTGCATTTGTTCTTAAAGACTTTCCCAATTCCTTTGAATGATGTGAAACATCACCGCTCTTTCATTGCCGTTTGCAGTTCATTTTGTAGGGACTGGAATATTAACTCCATTTTCCTAACAATGAGCCTACTACCAATGGGTATACAATGACAGGATTTTTGGAAAATCTGTTTTGTTTTTGATTACTCCAAAGAGAGGTGAGGTTTTTTTTTTTTTTTATGCCAATTACTGTGGTAATAGTCAAGATTTGGATTTTGTACATGGCAGAAAAGTTCAACAGTAAAATGCCACCTAATCAGAACTGATTTCTCCTTGAGGAGGTAGTTTCCAATGCCAAGTTGGCTTACCTACCGCTTGAACATTTGTTACTGTTGGCTCTAACAGCTATCCTGGAATGCTTTCCACCTTTTCGTTCGAAAGCTCTGTCTGGGTTATAATGTCTAAAACAGGAATTCTCTGGTTAGAAGTGAAAATGAATGAATTATCCATTTTCAGATCTTTAGGGTTGCCACTTTTTTCTGGGTACTGTTTTTTCTTGTGACATTAGGTAGGGTAGGTAGAGAATACAGACAATGTGAAATTGCCAGTAGGGAGAGAAGCATTCCTTGTAAGTGACTGTGAGTAGTTTGTGAATAAATCCAGTATGAGTTCTCCAGGGAGAAAGATGGGTAAAACACATTGACTCTGTTCACCACAACTGTTTCGTTGATAAACCATGGAATCGTTCTCAGTCTTTTAGCTATTTAGCTATGCTCGTATTTCAGACTCAGGAGATAAGTTGTGCTTAGGAAACTTTCTTCCTCTGGCTTATTGTTGGTGCAGAGTGTCTTGTCCTAGGCCTTCCCCATGATGTCTTGCTATCAACTGTACTTTAAAACACATGCTTAGTTAAGTCTTACTTAATAATACTTTATTGTCAGTGTTGTTGTCTTTTTGCTCAAACCAATTTATTTGGAAAGGAAAAAAAAGTAAAGAAGTACCCAGGTCATTTTCTAAGTTACATTAAATTTGTGACTCTAGAAGGAAACAGATTCTTACCCTCTTCCTCTGGCTTGGATGAGCATTGGCTTTGTGTTGTCTGTTTAAAAATCATTTGAAACCCTTCCATACATTCACATTTGACTGGTCTGTTGTGCAACCCAGGCTTTAGAGAGATCCCTAGGAATGAAGTGGGGATGCAGTGTGGCTTTGCTGGAGAGCTCCTACTTAGCATACACAAGCCCCTGGGTTCATTTCCCTAAACAACAATAGAAACCTGCCAGGATGATTGTGGTGTACAGCCAGGATAGACTTTGTGAGTAGTCATTGGTGGTCTTGGGCAGGAAAACCTCAAACTAGTATTCTCTCTTTCCTTAACTTCCAAGTAAAATGAAGGTTGAAGGTGGGTTTTTTGTTCATTTGTCCTTGTTTGAAAAGAGAAAAAGAACTCCTTGGAGTGGAAGGGAGTCCAGGAGAGAAATGCCTGAAGCTAGTTTTCTTGATCCAGGTACCTTTGCTGCTATCCCAGGCATGCCTCTTGGTTTAAAGCTGGCAGTGGGCCAGAGCTCAGACTCATCTATTTCTTCTCAGAGTAGGTCTGCAGGAAAATGTTACACTTAATCCTCTATCCTCTGTGCCAAATACAAAGTGTGTATAAGTAGATGAAAGCAGTTTTCAAGGTCTGTTCTCTAGAGTCCTTTTCCTCTGTGTACTTGATTTGAGTGCAGATTGCTCAGTTCTGATAGCTAAAATAGAGCAACACTTGCGTGTATTGTAGAAACGCAAAGCCAAGCCCAAACTGTCTGTGGCTACTTTTCTTTGTAAATTAAACAAGCAGTGTTGCTGCTTAATGGAGAAAAGAAAAATTCTGTCTTGGGTGATCATAATACTTCTGATGATTTGTCTCTTAGCCTGGTAGGATTTTTTTTTTTTTTTTTTTTTTTTTTTTTTTTTTTTTTTTTGTCTGTCAATTGATTCTTCCTTTTCCTTAGCTGCTTCTTTCTGAATGAAATGAACTAGCCAAGGCTTAAATATTTCTGATTAGTATGTGAAATTTTCACATCTTTGTTCTAGGATGTTGAAAGACCTAACCCAGTAATTCCCAAATGAGATTCCATAGCTTCCATTCTTACCCTAAGTAGAAGAGATGTGTAATGGCATGACAGTTTATTACCTGCCTATGGCAACCTTACACATGGTAGTAGGGCAGGAAGAGTTGTTCTGTCCATCAGCCATAAAAAAAATGAAAACCGCTTTTCAGTGTAGCTACTAAGCAGCTTTTAGCTGCTGAAAGAAATGTGTGCTGCAAAAGCAAGTTCAGTGTAGCAGACTCTTGAGTAGCCTCCACACATAGAAAATTCTGTTCATACATTCCTCATAAGTAATTGATAATTTGGACTCAAGGAAAAGGTGGGCTAAGGAAAAAGTTGGTGAGTACAGAGGACTAATTAGCATCAGAATACGAACTCTTGTTCTGAGTAGCATTAAGGCCTTGGTGTTGATTGGCTGTAAATGCTGCAGCATCAGAGACCCAACTGCCTCCCTAACCTTGAAACTTGCTAAACACTTGCTGGTTGTGAGTGGGACGGGAAAGCAGCTACCATGGAAAACCCCTAGGGCTTTCATGCTGGAGAATGTTGTGGAATACTGTGAAATTTGCTGAACTTTATGCAGATTATACCACACTGGACTTAAAGATTTGAAGAGACAAAAGAGGAAGGTGGGGAAGTGGTAGTAAAAGGTAAATGTTTCAACTTTTGATACTTTGAGCAAGGGGTAAAAGAATTTCTACTACAACTGTAAAGTCAGATCATCTTCTGCCCTAATGCATTCATTGTCTTGCTCATTCATTCATTCATTCATTCATTCATTCATTCATTCTGCCTTCCTTGTCCCCACCTCTCTTTCTTTTTTTACTGGGTATTGAACCTAAGAATCTGGAGCATGCTGGGCAAGCATTCTGCCACTGAACTATATAACTACAGATCCTAATTCTTTCTGAAACAGCTAAGCAACTGTTGGTCTGGTCACTGTGTGACCTAGCTCCATCTCCTGGCTCTCAGTAAAAGCAAAAGTCATTACTGAACTATAAGCCAAGGAAGTGTGCTCTCAGAGTCCATTAGCCCTTCATCTGCTGTGGTCTCTTCACAGCATCAGCCTGTTGCATTGTTTTGTGTTCTAATGGATTTACTACTCAGGACCCAATGGCTTTCTTTCCCTTTAAGACATCTTAAGACAGCATTCTAGACCTCTGCTCTAGCACTCTACCTAAGTGAGGGAAAAGCACATTGGCTGAGCACTTAGATTTCCTGCTTTCTGTCTTTTAGGATAGGGCCCCCTCAGGCACTGCCTCTGAGGCTGAGGGTTGAAAGAGGAAAGGCAATGCAGCAGAGATCTGGTTCTTTCAGATGGACCCTTTCTGAAGGAACTACCCTTCTCTATGGTGCTTATTTAATGGGTGACAGCTGTCTCCCAACTACCTGTCCCTGGCACTGTGCCTTCCCACTGGTCACTGTGAAAAGTAGATCACACTGGACTCAGAGGCCAGAATCCAGGACAAGATCCCTCTTCTTGAGCCCATTACATCATGCAGCTTCTAATGTAGCATTAACTTCTCTTTGAGGACTTCAAGGGTTTTCTTCCCAAGAAACAGTAAAACATTTACAAGAAAACAGAAAAGTAGATTTGGCTTATAACTGTCACATTAAGAAATCACAGAAAGATTTCACTTCAGCTGCTGCTGAGTGACAGCAAGGATCAAACTGCAGTCGTCTCCTGTTTCTGAAGCTGACATAGTAGCGTTTGCAAAAAGCACCCACCTAGACAGTTTCCACAGCTGTTCATCAAGGAGAATTCATGTTGAAACAGACAATCACTTTCTAAAACATTAGTCCTGGACAGGAATGGGATAGATTATTTTTAACTCTTAGGAATTTAACAGTCTGCTTTCTCCCTATGAAGAGTCTTAACATTTGAGATTTGTGTCTTTTATCTGCAACAATTACTCCGTTAGTAGTAAAGATGCCTCAGAAAAGAGTGTGCCCAGGAAGCGCTCCCACGTCACTGAGAACACTGGGCTGGCTGTGTGCATCTTATCTCCTAAGACTTTGTTTTGTTGTGACCTTAATTATAAGTATCTATATATAGCAGTAGGCTTTTCTCTCCCCAGCCTCTTTTAATCATCACTTAAGTGTAAGCCCTTCCCCTTTACTGAAAAAAAAAAAAACAAAACAAAAAGTATGCACTTTAATTCCTAAGGAGTGTGGCTGTTCCTGTCCCTGAAGCCAGAACTCAGGAGGAAAGCTGAAGAGGGAAAACTCTTGCCAGACCCTGTAAGATTTAACCAAATTTCTTTGCCCCTACCCCTTACATATGCTAGGCAACTGCTGCCCCAGTCACAAATATCTTAATGTGAACACAAATTACCATCTATTTTTAAGCTGCCCCCAAGCACTCTCTGACAAAGGGGGAAAGAACCAGTTAAAAAAAAAAAAGTTCAAGATACCTACTCTGATTTTGGATTTTTTCCTAGGGAAAATTTTATTTTTATTTATTTTTTAGCTACCAAATTATAAAAAAAAAAAATTATGTGTTTTGTGGTAAGATTTTCTTCCTCTTTTTTTTTTTTGATTAAAGATCAAGTGAAACTACAACAATGCTAAAATATTATTCAGAATTATGTCACGTCTAAGTTAAGTACTGGGTTCATTTCCCCTTAATTTGACAGGTGTCTTTGGACTCTCCTCCTGTAGATTCTGACTTTCCCCTGGTGACAAGCCAATAATTCTTGGAGAGATAGCATGTCTCCTACAGCCCTGTTGTGTCGGGGAGGGGGGAGGGCAGGAGGGTCAGGGGAGGGAAACTCAAAGAATTAAGATGTGGGTTTATATAAACATATTTAAAGCAGTTAGCAAAAGCTTTCTCGTTGAACAGCTTTAAGAACAATGTGAATGAAACCTTAGCAACTTGGTTAGTAATCTGAAAAGTCTATTAATGTATACTTGAAATTCTGTTTGCATAAAAATGCATTTCCTCTTTATTTTGACACTGTGTATAAGAACATTATGCATGTGAGTGGTTTGAGAAATAAAAGGTTTAATACTCATATTTGAATCTCTGTCTTTTCTGTGTAGAGATTAACTAATCCGTTTATACTCTTGGGATTTTGTATTATGGTAGGAAAACTGAGAATTTAAAGTCCCTCCACCCTTTCAAGGTGCCTGCAATCCTCCAAGATGAAATAGTAACATATTTACCTCTTTTATTTTTATGGTTTTCTTTTCTGCTTTTGGGGGAGAGGAAGTCATCTTGAGACAGGGTCTCTCACTATGCAGCACAGCCTCAACTGGCCTCAACTCCTGATCCTTTGCTTCGTCCTCCAAAGTGCTAGGATATAGGCATGTGCCTCCATGGCTGGCCTCTTCCCCTTTATTTGCCCAGAAGTTGTTGCCCCAACATCATCTTATCTGTGCTTCAGTGTCTTCATTTCAAGTGGAAAAGTCCATTCTTGTGAGGTGGCAGTTGTATTTATTTTTACTTCTATTCACAAACACCAAAATAGGAAAAGGTGCAAAGATTAAGACTCTTTTAGTTCATACAAGGATTAGCCACTCTCCCCATGAATATAATAGTGTTCAGAGCAACTTCCCTTATAAGTACCAGGAAGGGCCTGTTGGCCTTGAAGGTCACCCGATTGGGATTCAGTGAACGGCCAGCAATCACGACAGCAGTACTCGCTGCTGCTTCACTGCCTTCCTCATTCACCTGCAGGTCACATAGGAAACAAACATTAGCTACCCTTTCAGTCCATCATAGGCATGTATATCACACACGGACCCTGCAGCTCCTCAGACTGCTAATACACTTAGACACAAATGGTCCTCGCCAGAAACATGCTCATCTTACATCCAGTGGATATAATGCACTGGGCTCATCCAAAGCCTTGCAAGAATTCCACAAGTGTAATTCTCAAACTAGAAGCCACATTCTGATAGCGTGGTTAAACATTATTAGAGAGGATTGTTTTGAACCAACTGCTAAGAGAAATTCAGCATCAAGATCCAAGATCTGTAATTGAAATAGATTCACTCTTGAAGCATAGGGGGAAAAAAAAAAAACCGGCTGAAGAGATGCCTCAGAGGTTAAGAGCATTGACGGTTCTTACAGAGGTCCTGAGTTCAATTCCCAGCAACCACATGGTGGCTCACAACCATCTGTTATAAGAGCTGGTGCCCTCATCTGGTGTGCAGATATACATGGAAGCAGAATGCTGTATAAATAATAAATAAATAAAATCTTTAAAATAAAAAAATCGCAGGTATAAATACTCCAAACAGCTACGCAAAACCTGTGGCTTAGAAAAAGACAATCCTCCAGTTGGATGACATGTTTTTCTTGGAGTAATAACCTGAGAAAACGATATTTGAATGACACATCTGAGGGCTGCCTTCAGAAAGCATGTGTCAATTGCTAACATTACTGTGTTACTGACTTTTCCCGGAGCTGAGGCTAGCCTGTCATTCAAGATGCTCCTGTGTCAGCCACCTACTCTGGTTTCTTTTAAACAGTCTCACTACGTACCCCTTGCTGGCTTTTAGCTTTCTTTATAGACCAGGCTGACCTGGAACTTGTGGCAATCCCCCTGCCTTTGCCTCCTCCTCTCCTTGACTCTTAAGCATGTTTGATCTCTGTGCTTTGTGGGGTTGGTTGATGGTTTTTTCCCCTTCCCCTTGGTTGTCCCACATCTATTTCATTCTCATTCTAGAACTAAATTTCTGAGTAGTGTGAAGATAATATCCAGCCGGCTGGGACCTCCTATCTTCCAGGAAGAACAGCCTATACCATTGGGCCTCAAACCTGATTGTATGTGAAGATCCCCAGTGGATCTGTGCAAAGAAGCAGATCCTCAGGCCCCACTCCTGGGTCTCCAAGGGTAAAGATCTCTACCTAATGCTATGGAGCCACACCTCAGTATCTGAGAATCAAAACTACAAGCTGCCACGCCCTACTCTAACACACAGTTCTGTGCTCATCTCAGTTGAGGGAAGACAGACTGAGCAGTACTCCACTGTTTTCCTCACTGGGACGTCTCAGATCTCAGCACACCATTGTGTGTAGTCAATCAATCTCTCAAAGTCAACATGTGCCTGCCTAACAAGGCTTCCTGAAATGCTATCTATCTCAGTAGTTCTAGAACACACCTGGGGGCACGAAGGTGACCCACTCTCATTAGTAGCCTCCTTTCTTATGTTCAGTTGCTCTTCACCCTTCACTTAAGCACATGCCCCTCCCCATTCTGTCCAGATTAGATATCAGTCTTTTACCCCATACTTTCCGTATTCCTGAAACCTCAGAACTCCCTTTCCTGGCTCCCTTTCCTCAGGCTACCCTCTAACTCTGCTTCTCTGGCAGGAGAGAATGCCACATGAAGGCAGAAGCTTCAAGCTCCTCCATGTGTACATGATTGAAGGCATACTGCAAACTTGGCTCTCCACAGCTCTCTCCTGCTGCTGTCTCTACCATCAGAGCATAGCAGGAAACTCTTCATCAGAAGATGCAGGAAAGACAGAGGGTGGAGGGAGATGGACTCACCTCAAGAAACGCTTTGTGGAACGCATCAGAGACATAGAGATCATTCCTGCCTTCTGCAACAATCCCTGGAAGGAAGAACAGGGAAGGGGATGCTGTGATTTGGCTTCAGGCCACACAGGAGATCAGCCTGAATGAAGACACCCTTCTGGGTGGTTTTCGAAAAAGAACCCTGATCCTCCCCTAGTTATAACCTCCACCCTTTCAATGGATGCCTCTTAAAAACGGAGGTGTCTGGGCTTCTTTGGCCTGTGTCTTGTGAATTTAATTTCATGTTAGCTTCTTGGGGGAAGGTGGAAGGGTGGGACTCTGTTCTTAAGGATAGAAATGTTTTTCCAGTCTGGTAACATTTTTGAGAGGTTTGGCTTTCAAAGCTAGTTTAAAGGTAGCCCAGTAAAGATAAATCCCATTACCCAATCAAACTCTTTCTTTGCCAGAATCTCTTTGTGTAGCCTGGGCTGTCACCCTGCCTCAGCCTTGAGTGCTGAAATTATAGTTGTGTGCCACCATGCCCAGCTGTGGGCTTCTTTTTGACATAGGTGTGCTGGGGCCAAAGAGATTGTTCATCAGGTAAGGTCACTTGCCACCAACCCTGACAACCCGAGTTTAATCCTGGGATCTACATGGCTTTGAACTCCTGAAAGTTGTCCTCTGACATCCACACACAGCGGCACTTGTGCATCCCCTACACACACCACACATAACAAATAAATGTATGGATACGTAAAAGACACTTCCAGACACGTGGCACACACCTGTAATCCCAGCACTCAGGGTGGCAATCGCACAATCAGTTCAAAGCCAGTCTTAGCTGCACAGTGGATTCCAGGCTAACCTGGACTACATAAGGCCCTGTCTCAACCAAAAACAGAAAAAATGAAAATGTGTTCTATAGTAAATATAATTTGCTATCATATTTCATTTTTATTTTATTCGAGATTTATTTTCTTATTTCTCTCTCTCTCTCTCTCTCTTTTTTTTTTTTTTCAGACAGGTTTCTCTGTAGCTTTGGCGCCTGTCCTGAAACTCCCTCTGCAGACCTGTCTGGCCTTGAACTCACAGAGATCCACCTGCCTCTGCCCCTGCCCCTGCCCCTGCCCCTGCCCCTGCCTCTGCCTCTGCCTCCAGAGTGCTGGGATTAAAGGCATATGCCACCACCGCCAGCTTATTTTCTTATTTCTCTCTCTCTCTCTCTCTCTCTCTCTCTCTCTCTCTCTCTCTCTCTCTCTCTCTCTGTGTGTGTGTGTG